ACACACAACCATTTGTTTATTTCAATGGTGAATTTGTGTGAAAACCGTATGAGCCTCACTGTGGACCGGGTCAGAGTCACTGTCCAGCGCCCTCTAGCCAGATGTTCCAGCCATGGAGCCCCAGCCTGTTTTACCCCGAGCATGTTAGCCACATTGCTGTGCACTGATGGAGGCATGCATGAGAACACATGCTCCATGGCATGGGTCACCCCAGCCCCTTGTCTGTGATGGGTGGGCATAGTATCACAGTAGAGTTGCAGTCCCTGCCTCACCTCTTTCCCTCTGACGAGCTGGTGCCACTCATGCCGACATAGAGCAGCCACTGGTACGAATTCAGAATCGCCATCTGCCAAGTGCCAGTGCAAACAGGGCTGCCAGCAGCACCTCAGGGACGTCGGCTGGTGTGTTCAGCCATGCCCGAGTTCCTGCAGAGTCAGGAGGTTCCACCTGGAAGTTGGCTCGGGGGGCCACTTGGTATTAATTCTACCTCATGAGAAAGTGGAGTCCCTGAGCAACTTGGAGCCACAGCTGCTCAACAGATCCCAGGCTGACTATAGTCTAGAGCTCAGCGCACCTGCCTGAAGCCACAGGCCTGTTCCCCATAAGAGGGAGGCTCTGTGGCCAGCAGGGCAACCTGGGCCAGCTGTTTCTCAGGGATTTGCTGCTTATGACCAACAGGTTCCCAAACCTGAGTCCAAGGGGAAAGAAACCCTGGCATCCCTTCTGCCCACATCAGGGAGCAGCCCCGCGAGGCCCCATGTACTACCTTTTCTGTCGTGCTTTTGTTTTAAATGGCAAGTAACCATAATTCAGAAAACAAGAGCGAGTAAAGGCCCATCATCAACACCCTGATTAGGGGTGGGGAATTCCTGGGGCAGAAATATAAGTTGTAAGTGAGCATAATTGACATGTTTCCACCATTCCTATCACTGCCTCCCCAGAGGAAAAAACCAACAGGACACACAGATACAGAAAGATGTGTCATTGCCCATGCCATGACACCATGCAAAGTCCTCAGATCTTCCATCTTTAAACCTGGGACCTAGAAGAGCTGATACTGTAGTTCTAGTCCAAATGTAAAGGCCGAAGAACTGGAAGACCCAGTGGTCTAAATTCCCATCCTAGTTGGAAGGCTCAAGGACCAGGAGCACCCCAGTGCAAGGCAAGTGGATGTTTCAGCTTGGGTGGAGAACAGATGTGTCCTTCCTCTGCCTTCTCTTCTGCCCAACATTTTACCCAAGGTGATCATCACTCCATCTACTGATTCCACTAGTTCTCTTCTGGAAATCCCCCTCATAGACACCCAGAGACAACACTTTACCAGCCCTATTGGCATCCTTTAGCCCAGTCAAGCACACACAGGTACATGGTTGCAAAGAGACAGCTATTGAGGAAAAACTCACACATGCTCAGGATGCATGGAGTTCAGTGCTGAACTGCAAATGCTTAATTCATCAAACTTCCACTAAAGGCATGCTGCTTTTCAACAAATCTAAAATTTTCACTTTATCAGTTTAAGCATTCAGTTTTACCTTGCTTGTTGGGCACCATTTGCTGTTAGGGAAGCAGTGAAACACTAGGCAGATCACACCATTTCAACACAACTGACAGTAACACCGGACAGACTGAGACCTCAGCATCCATTGAGCTGAGGAATGCACAAAGGGAAAATCTGATTTTTTAAAATTAGTTTTTGGCTGCCCTTGGTCAAAATCATGTACAACAAATCCATGAATAAGGCGAGCTTAGTGTACAATTAACTGTGACTTTATTATATCAAAAGTTAATTGTAAGCCAGACATAATGGCACACACCTGTTAAATCCCAGCATCCAGGAGGCTGAGGCAGGAGGATCATGAGTTCAAGGCTGAGATATATAGTAAGACCCTGTCTCAAAAACAAAAATTCTGTGTTACAGCCTAATCTCATCTCCAGCACTCTGCATTGCTCTGTAGAGACCCAAGTTTACATAGCAGACATTTTTCTTCTCCTTAGAGTGATTGGTTATGTTTTTAACATTTCTCTTAGTAAGTTCAGACTTGATGGCTTATCTCTGCACCTCAAAGAGGTCCTTCCATTGTCCACTCACATGCATTGCCCACTGCACAGTCTGCTGTCCTCCTTGTCCTGTTCGTCTATGTCATGTGTCTTTCACTAGTTTTTGACAGCTGGACTTGGTGGGAGGGGTGCACCTTGTAGATTTTCTTTGCGTCTGGCCTGGCTATGATTTCTTGGACTTCTGTGATCTGTTCATTTATCATTTTCTTGAACCCTTTTTCTTCATATTTTCTCTGCCCCTGTTCCTTCTCTGGGACTTAAAATTCCTGTGGACTGGACACTGCATGTTGTCTCAGGTCCCTGAGGTTCAGCTGGACCCTGGTTCTGCACCCTGCCCTATCATGCTATTTTAAAGTGCCACCATTATCCCCAAGCTTCCCTGGGAACTTCCCAGGTCATACGTACCAACTCTAGAATTGGCCCCTGGTTCTTTATAGTTCTTATTTTCTCTTAACTATCATTGTGCTTTCTTTAAAAAAAAAAAATTGGTAGTATTAGGGTTTAAAATTTGGGCCTTGTGCTTGCTAAGCAGCTGCTCTATCACTTGGAGCATTGCCCTCAGCCCTTTTTGCTTCAGTTATTTTTTTAGGTAGGTTCTCACATTTTTGCCCAGAGTCAGCTTGGACCACAATCCCCCTACCTGTGCTTCCCACACAACTGGAATTACAGGTGTGTACCACCACACCTGGCCCTAAATTTAATTTACAAGAGCTATTTTAAGTCTCTCCCTTGCTCCTGATTCTGTTCCCCTGACATTTGACCTCAGTCTCTATGTCTGTTACACATTGCTTGGAAACAGCCATGGTGCTGTGGGCTGCTGAGCATCTGTGCATGGACTCCCTCATGTCAGGTTGTCTTCTGACCAGCCTCTCATGTATTTGTGAGGCTCTCATGGCAAGTCTACGGTGGCCTTGACTACCACTAGGTTAGCCTGAGATCAAAACTAGGCCTTTCTGGGGTTCCTCTGTCATGGTTATCAGACTCGAAGGTCTCCAACTGTGTACAGGCTTAGGTCCTTGCTCAGCTTCCTAGTGCTTGGCCTTTCCCTGGCCTCCCCAGGGCTCACTATGGGCCTCTGAAGTCCGTGTTTGCCAGAGACTCAAAGGTGCTTCGGTTTCAGCCTCCTCTATTGCATTTGTCTCCAGTTCCAGTGTCCTCTGCCTTTCCAGGGCCTCCCATCCTGTGCCAGGTCCAGAAGACACTGCTGGAGGGAAGGCAAGTGTGTTGCAGGACTCACCAACAGCCCCAGTTTGAGCTGTCTGGCCCCTCAGTGCCCATGGCCAGTTTCTCAGGATGGGTTTCCTGTGTTCAATCAATGTCAAGCCAGTTGCACTGGCCAGCTGCCAGCTCTGACTCCAAACCTGACCCTACTCTGTAGCATTTCAGAAGTCATGGATGCAGTGTTAATCCTAAATCCTGCTACTCCACAGTGTGAAGTCACTGCCTTCCTGGGGCACCAAGGAGCTGCACTCCTTGAACTTTGCACAATGTCTTGGGCGAAGTGGGGATTTGGCAGTGGCTGTTCCTCTGTATGAAGTCCTGGAAAGACACATTTGTGCTTCCATGAGGTCTGCTGAGAGGACGCTATATCCTGTGGTGATCCAACGAAGCAAGCCAGGAGGGGACATGAGGGGACCAGGGAGGGTTTATGGATGTGCACTGCCCCCTCAGGGTCTCCCTCCTTTGCTTGTCCAGAAATATGGGGGTGGGGGGAGGTGAGGTGGCCTGTGGGATGGACACTGGCCATGTTATACAGGTCAGTATGTGGTGAGATCCCACAGGAGCAGAATCCTCATGACCTTTGAGGTCACTCTGGCCACCAAGAGTTGGACTACATGAAAATTTAAACTTGAGCTCCTCAAAGACACCAGAATAAAGAGGGAAACTGTCAGAAAGCAGGGTACAATCACAGTGTATGCACCCTGACAAAAGACCCTCGCAGATGCCTCACACAGCACGGAGGCAACTGGTTAGTCTTCAGTGGGAAAAGACGAGGCTGTGTGGACACTTCCGAGCCAACCTCATCACGTCAGTCAGCAGGGAGGGTCTGCCCGGCCCCACAAGCCACTGCCCCAGTTTCCAGCCAGTCTACATTGGGACTTTGGTGGCATCACATATTGGTGGCACTTTCCTTACATGGTAAACTGTGTGCTGCTTCATAGCCTGAGCCACCAGCCCTGGCCATAAACAGCCACAGGAATTCTACTTGCCACCGTAAAAAGGTACACTCAGCTATGTCCATCGCGGACAGATAAGGATTGGGGGGCAGGGGGATGCTGTCCCTATAGGGTGACTCTGTGGCCCTTGAGAAAGCCCAGTAGCTCCAGGGAGTGTCCTAGGGACTGGGATGTCCTGGACTATGTGATTCACACAGGCAGGAGCCATTGTTAGAAGCCACTGGGCTGTACATGGTGACTTCACTGCTTGGGTAGAGGCTTAAAAGGTCCAGCAGAGGAAATCCTCATCCCCCAACAGCCACCACTCCACTCTGCTCACGGCCAGCTGCTGCTGGCCTCCTTTGTCAGGACTCCAGGGCTTTTCATTGGTCACCTCACTGTCCCGTCAACCTCATGTTCTTCTGTGACCCCATGAGTTCAGGTTCCCGGGGCCTCTCACTCAGGGGCCTTCCCAGGCTGGATGCAGACTCTTAGGCCCTCATAGAGTGAGCCTATACCTTGGGCCTGCCTTATCAAGAGCCCAGGCTGCACTCAGCCCACCATGCAGGTAGGTCAGGACCAGCCCTTGCTGGGCCTGGCAGCTCTGTGCCTGGGGTCTCTGCAGGAACTGCAAATTTAGACATAGGGTCAGGGTGTCAGACTGGGAGGCTGGTGATGACATGTGGCGTCCTTTTCTGGCTCTGCTGAGGTAGCGCCTTGTGCTGGTCTAGTGAGATGCAGGCTCAGAGGAAGGCAGTCCTGAGTCCTGCAGATCTCTGCCCACAGGTAGTCCTCATCATCAGCGGGAACCTGAGCTTTCTGAACTGGCTGACCATCGTGCCCAGCCTTGCCTGCTTTGATGATGCTGCCCTGGGATTCCTGTTTCCCTCAGGACCACAAGGCCTGAAGGACAGAGTCCTGAAGATACAGAGAATGGAAGCCCAAGGGATCTGGCCAGCACCAAGATACGGTAGGTGGGATGCAGCCCTGGTCACTTCGTACCCAGGGTCCCATCAACACACGGGGAAGCTGGCTGTCCACCAGCCCCACAGGGGCCTGCTGTTGTTGGCCCTGCACTACTACAGGACATGGAACAGCTGGTCCTTGGCCACAGCCAGGTTCCACTGTCAGGATACATCACACGTCAGGAAGTTGCCCGTGGCTGGGTCGCGGGGCTATGGAGGGGGCACCCTGCATGGCCAGCTGGTCCTGTCCCCTGGCTTCCTTGAGCCTGGAGTGATGGAACAATGGCCAGGGTCTTGGAACAGTGTGGCTCCTCCCTGGTGACAACCCTTTCTTCCCTGAGCAGGCTGTGTGGTGCGGCGTCTGGTTAACCTCTCACTGGGTGTCCTGGTGGCCTGGCTCAGCGTGCCCGTGGTCCTCAACCTACTGAGCTCCAAGCAGGTCATGAATACCTCCTTCAGCCCACTCAGGATCGTCAACACATATGGGGCCTTTGGAAGGTATGGTCAGGCCAGCCCTGCCCCTCCCCTTCACTGGGCGTCTGCCATCCTGTTCACCCTGGACCCCCAGCACTACAGGGAGCAGCAGAGCCTATCCCCGTGTGTGACATGGATGCACCAGCCCTGCCTTGGTCTCCCCCCAGCATCACCAAGGAGCGGACAGAGGTGATCTTGCAGGGCACAGCCAGCCCCAACGCCAGTGCACCTGATGCCGTGTGGGAGGACTATGAGTTCAAATGCAAGCCTGGTGACCCCTGGAGGCGGCCGTGCCTGATTTCCCCCTATCACTACCGCCTGGACTGGCTCATGTGGTTCGCAGCCTTCCAGGTGAGGACACTGAGACATGGCAGGCCCCAGTCACTCCTGCAGCATCTTAGTGGGAAATGTGTAGCCCCCCTGGCCAGGGAGGAAAGCTGAGGTGAGATCACCTCCCACCTTAGGCAATGATCAGGCCCAGCACTGACCCGGTCCTGCCTAATGAGAGCCCCAGGCCCTTGTGCTGGATGGGCAAATGTTGGGCTATGCAATCCCGGGGTCAGAACCCTCTGTTCCGGTCCTCTACTGCCCCTGCAGGGCAATACCCTCACAGTCCCATCCTGACCAAGAGGAATCTGAGGCTTAAGTGTTTCCAGTGCCTGCCCAGAGGACAGGATCAGCCTTCAGGCAGAGCAGGAAGCAGACAACCCCCAGAGGAGCCTGAGGCCAGCAGAGCCTGAACAATGCATTCCAGCATGGCTGTGAGAGGCCTTCATGGCAGGCAAGGGTCAGGGTAGTGGGAGGGGCCACACTTGGATGGTGTTTTTTGGTTGGCCCCATACTCCAGCCTCATGAGCCCTGTCCCCCCAGACCTACGAGCAGAACGAGTGGATCATCCACCTGGCTGGCAAGCTCCTGGCCAGCAATGCTGAGGCCCTGTCTCTGCTGGCCCTCAACCCCTTTGAGGGCCGGGCTCCACCCAGGTAAGACCCTCCGAAGGGCCCCAACATAGGCACCTGCTCTGGGCCTCCTAACCCATGCTGAGATCCACAGGCCCCACCTGCTTTAGGTTTGGGGCCCCTTCTCCCTCCCACAGGGGCTGCTGAGAGCCCTCAGCCAAAGGGACTGGTCAGTCACCTCATTCTACAGCCAACCTGGAGCTAAATCTGCCACCACTGAGGAACCTGGGGGCAGCTGCTCTAGACACCTCTCTGATGTCCACAGGGCCACACACAGGTGGCCAGAGGCCTGTGCTCTACAGCATATGTTTAGGTAGCACATCTTTGTGGATGGTTCTCCAGGTGCCCATTCTGCATCTGGCCAGGAGGGGCACCGGACATACATGTCCAACAGCCAATGAGCTGGACTTACTGTAGACTGGAAGAGGGTTTGGTGCGCAGCCTCAGCCTGTAGTGCAGGGGTCTGACAATACAAACAGGGTGGTACGGGGGAGGTCACCCTGTGCAGACTGCCAAAGGAGAGACCATGTGGGAACAGGGTGACAGCATTGACTTTCCACACTCCATGCTCAGGTGCTGGGGAACACATGGGAAGACACTAAGGAGCCTCTGGCAACAACAGTCTGAGGGGGCACAGGAGAGATGTGGGGTTTGACTTGCTATAAGAAGAGTGGGATCTGGAGGGTGGCTGGTGTGGGCCCCTGGTGGCCACCTCCTCAGCAGGGCTACAACTGAGTAGCGACTAGGAAGATAGCAGTCCTGAGCTGGCCCTGTCCTTCCCCTGTTTCCTGCTGGCCCTTGATTCTGACAGAAAATGAGTTCCTATTTATCCTCGAGAAACCTCGGGACAGCTGCACCCCTGGAGCCACGCAGCTGTCAAGACCAGCAAGCGGGGGTCTGCCGGGGCAGCCACACAGCTGCACTGAGTCTGGCAGCCCAGGCAGGGGCCCCAGCCAAGTGGCACTTCCAGAGCCCCTCCCAGGTCTGCTGTACCCAGGGGTGGGTACAGGCCTCCAGCTATCCAGGACACAGTCTCCATCCAGAGTCCCCACTGCTCTTTTGGCATGACTCTGGAAGTGGTTGCCTGTCCCCCGTGGCCACCAGCATTTGCTGGTGGACAGACCTGCCTGCCCTATAGCTGCATCCTTTCAAAGCTGAAGCGGTTTTCCCTATGACCATCCCCATCCCAGCTGTCTTTGCTCTTCCTCTAGTGTAGACCTGCATCTTCACCCAGCAAGACCTTACTGGGTACAGCCTTGCCTAGAGGGGGGAAACACCTGAGCTGGGCCAGGAGTCAGGAGAACCTCACATCTGAATGTATTCAGGTGCACCTTGTGAGCATCAAAGCCTGACCTGAGAGTGGATGTTGTGAAAACAGGTGTGAATTGGTAGTGAAATCAACCCTCGGGAAACATTTAAAAGCATCTAAGATGTTTCAGATCACCGCAGAGCATTTCATGCATGGAAGCTGCTGGTGACAGCCCTGTCACAGCCAACTGTGACTTTTTGAAGTGAGTGGTACATGGAAGATGAATGGACACGGCCCTGTGTCAGTGAGAGCTCCAGGCACAGCTGTGAACTATGGAGAGGAGAGGAGATCCCGAAATGGAGGCAAGTGCCTAGTTTTCTTTCTGCCTCATTTTCTAGACTTGGAGATAAACAAGCAACAACTCAGAAATGCCATCAGATGTTACCAAAAATGACCCAAAGCCAGAAAGGCCGGCAAGACAGAAGTCATAGGAGGTAACAACTCTTAAGCCAACCTGTGACCCTACCCGCCAGCCAGAAAGACCCAGGAAGGTGCTGGGGCCCACTTTGAATGAGGAGAGCCCCTCCCCCCTCCCCCAGGATGGTGTGAGACAATGGCGCATGGAGGTGGTACCCCACTTCCAGCAGTAACAAGAGGCACTCCTAGGCCAGCTAATGCTACCTTCTTCCCCTTTCAGCCAATGTGAAGAGCAGTCACACAAACAGAAAGTTTATCTTTGGGATCTCCTAACACCCAAAATGATCACCTGTCATACCAAAACCCAGGAAGATATGGAACTGAGTAAGGAGATTGTCAGTAGATGACAACAGCAAGGGGACAGGAGGCCAGAGCTGCCACATAGTGCTCACAGATGTGCCTCAGTGAGCAATATGAACACAACACAGTGAAAACTACATTCCACAAGAGAAGGGAGGTGTGAGGAAGAACCAAGGGAAAGCTGGGAACTGAGAGATCAGTAACCAGAATACACCCCACATCAAGGGGAGAAGAAGAGAATCAGAGGACCAGAGACAGAAGGCAGCACTTCCCAAAGTGGGCAGCAGAGCAAGCTGAGTGTAGCAGGTGTAGAAGGTGTCACTATGATCCCCGGAGGGAAAGAGGAACAGCTTGGGACTGAAGAGGCACTTGAAGTAGTAGCTGTGGGCTGGGGCTCAAGTGGTAGAGTGCCTGCTTAGTAACTGCAAGTCCCTGGTTCAAATTCCAATGCTGAAAAAAAGAAATAAGAAAGAAGTAGTAGTAAAGGCTAAAAAATTGCAAATTTGGCAAAAGGCACAAACCTACAGAGTTAATAAATGAGTGAACCCCAAACGGAAAACCCCAAAGAAATTCAAATCCAAACTCATCAAACTTCTAAAAACTATAGACATGAAAGCTGTGAGATCAGCGTGGGAGGTGCTGTCTGGCCACTGAGGGGAACAGCCAGAAGGATGTCATGGAGGCCACCAAAAAGTGCATGGTGTCCACCAGGCTTCCAGCCCAGAACCTCCATCCAGCAAGATGCCCTTCAGGGATGAAGAGAACCTGGAGGCAGTCTCCAGCAAGTCAAAGACTTTGTCACCAGTATAGTTGCCCTGAAAGAATGACAAACACGACTTCTCCCAACAGAAAATAAACAAGGAACTTGTTTCTTTACAGCAACTTCAGAACATCAAGAGGAAGGAGGCAGAAATAAGGTGGCTCAGTTGACCACGCCTCTCAAGTGGCCAGCTGTGTCTGGTGGCTAAGTGAGGATTATTTCCAGAGTAAATGGAAAGGGCAGGAGGATGAAGGAGGGGCTTCCTGCGATCCACCTGCACCCCTGGAAGGACACTAGCAGACACACTACGTGCAGTGTGAATAATGTGCCACTAAAAAAAATACACAGTGACACAAAGAGATAAATACCATTGACAAATCAAAATGGATTTTGAAAAATACTCATATAACTTATAGGAAGGAAGGCAGGAAAAAAATTAGAAACAGGACACAGCCAGGTATGGTGGTACATATCCACAGTCCCAGATACTCGGGAGGCTGGAAAGGGAAGATCACTTGAGCCAGGAGTTCAAGACCAGCCTGGGAAACACAGCAAAACACTCTCTCTTAAAAAATAAAGGTAGAGCCAGGCATCTGGTGGCTCACGCCTATAATCCTAGCTACTCAGGAAGCAGAGATCAGGAGGATTGTGGTCTGGAGCCAGACCCGGGCAAATAGTTCGAGTCCCTATCTCGAAAATAACACAAAAAGGGGCTGGCAGAGTGGCTCAGGCAGTAGATCTCCTGCCTAGCAAGCGTGAGGCTTGAGTTCAAACCCCAGTACCACCAACAAAATAAATAAAAACAGAACGGACAAAAAAACAAAATGGCAAACTTAACTCATAGCATATAAATAATTATATTCAATGCAAATGGTCTATATACATACCTAACATCAGGGCCGGTAAGGGTCACACCGAGCTGCATGCTGTGTTGGGCATTTTGGTCAGCACAAAAGCTCAGGACATCAAGAACTGCAGGACTACACTTTCCCAACCAGGAATTGCCAGCAGAACTGCCTGGCCATCCACTGCAAGAGGGGATGCCTGTGCCAGCACAAAGCCCTCTGCCACACACCTGGGTCTCAGCCTGGACTGTCCACTGGGCAGAAGGCACACTTCCTAAGAAGAGCTGCACTGGCTCCAGCCCTCCTGTTCTTCTCAGGGTGGTCCTTCCCCTGGGACTCTGAATCATGACTTAAATACACCAACTAAGAGCTGCAGATAGGCAGAGTGGACTGAAAGTCTTGACCTAACCATATACTGTCTACAAGAAACTTGCTTCAGATAGAGCAAGATGGCAGGCTGGAAGTAAAAGGACAGGAAAAGACATGCCATGTGAATACTAATGAAAAGAAAGCAGCTGTGGTCGTATTGCCATCAGACAAAACAGACTTCCATGCAAACAAAGTTGTCGGAGACGAGGAGGGGCTGTGTAATGGTAAAAGGGCCGACCAACAATTGGACACAAATGTGAAATTCAGAAAGGGGGCTGGGGTGGGGCTCAGCACAGAGCCCTTCCCCACCCTGTTATAAATAAAAAGTGTCCAGCAGGCTTGGCCACCTCAGGCCTTTGCCCCATCCTGGGAAGAAAAAGAAAGGAAGAGGGCCAAGCCAGGGAAGTTAGAGCCATTCCACCACTGGGACCTCCCAGCCTCGTGGATTGCAAACTCAGGATCCTGGTTTTAGGAAGGGAGACCTCATGGGATCTCTGCAGCCAGCCTTGCCCTCTTTCTCATGTCTAGCTATGGGGTCCAGCATGGCTATGTTCAGCATCTCCTGGCCTCAGTGCCCCTGCTATCCGCCCCCCCTTCTGCATTTGACAGCCCTGGGACTAGGTCCAAAGAAAAAGTCTGTGAGCCTCATAGGTCCAGAACACACCCATACCAGGCAACTTCTGTGCCCCTCAAAGATGTTTCTGTGCCTCCTGGGGACTCTCCCCTTCCCCAGTTCTTACTGGAGGAGAGGGAGGGACAATCGCCCCACCCAGAACCAAGATGCCTCAGCACATATCCCGGAGGAGCAGAGCACATCTCTCTCTGCCACCACCTCTGCTCCTACCCTCTGCGGTGATGAGCTGGAGCAGGTGTCCAGGGCTCCCTCATTCACAGGGGTACAGGGTGCTGTCCTTGGAGCCCACATGTGCCTGTTTCATCCAAGACTCTAGGCGGGGCCAAGGATGGAAATTGAAAATGGCCTTCCTGGTTGAGTGTGTGCTGTGTCAGCACAGGCCCCAGGCACAGGTTGGAGGGGCCAGTTTCCCCATGAGGAGCACTGGCCCAACCACAACTGGTTGGGTGGGGGGGTGATGCCTGGGCAGCCAGGGGCTCCAGGCTGACGCGCTGTCCCTCACAGGTGGATCCGAGGAGAGCACTACAGGTACCGGTTCAGCCTCCCTGGGGGCAAGCATGCCACTGAGGGCAAGTGGTGGGCACGCAAGCGGATCGGCCCCTATTTCCCTCCGCTCCGCCTCAAGGACCTGAAGGACTACTTCAAGGCACGGAAGTGGCCACTCTTGGAACCTGTCTAGGCACACCATGAAATAAAGGCTGGAGACAGCTCTGCTGCTCTGTGTGGAATCCCCACCATGGCCACGGATCCCCTGATCCGTGCTAGGGCAACCCATCGTGTCTCCCAGCAGGGAACATGGAGGAAAGGGGCCTTGCCCCCGCATTCCCTGCCTGGGGCACCACAGTGGGGTCAGAAGGCACCAGCCCTCCCAGCAGCGGAGTTTCCGTCTGTCCTCAGGGCCACTCTGCCTCTGGCTAGGTCAACAGCAGCTAAGTCATGACAGCCACAGCCTCTCACGTCCTTCCTCAGTCTATACTGTGGGTCCCAGTGGCTCTCAGGGCCCTTGACCTCCTGGGACCAGTTCTCTCTCACACCACAGCCATGCCCTCACTGCTGGGCCCCGTGCCACACAGAAACGTGTGCACTCCCCACCACCCCAGTCTTCCTCAGGTGGTAGAGTGAGGGTAGAAAGAAACCCTCCATTCTCAGCTGTGCCCGTATCCCCCGTCCTCACACTGGTGACCTGCAGAGGCCCCAGGGACACTGGATTGTGTCTGGGAATGTGATGTCTTCACATCCAGGGCTGTCCTCCCTTCTTGGCCTGGTGGGGAAGCCACCACCCCTCCATCCACGTTGCCTGGCGCCCACATTGCCTGTGGCTAAGCCATGCCGCAGAGGGTCCCGGTGGGGACAAGAAGGAGGTTCAGCCAAGGAGGCACAAGTGCGGGTCTGTGCAGAGCCCCCCTCAGCTTGCCTGGGGGGATGGCCAGCCCAGGTGCAGACAGAGAGACGGTGTTCCGGCTCCCGGGGAAACAGGGCACCCTGTGTCTGTCAGGGGACAGACGGGCCTCAGAGTGATGTGCCTGGAGCCAGCAAGTCTGCCCGCGGCAGCCACGGGAGCTGACTAGCGGCCTGGGCAGCTCTTCCTGGGGGCTGTCCTGGGCCTCTGCCTCTGCTGCCTGCAGGCTGGGGGGTAGCTATGGGGCGGGGGGTGTCATCAGGGGCGGCAGCTGCTGGAACCGACCAGGGACCCATCATCCTGGCAAGGCAGCACCCAGGGTGCCCCTGCCAGGACCATAATGGGTCTCAGCTCCCCCCTGTACTCAGGGCTTCCCCTGTGAAGCCCCAGGACCCTCAAATGCCTCCTCCATGACCCCACAGGGGCTCCAGGTCGAGAGCCGGAAAGGAGAGCCAGAAAGGTACAGCCCTACAGTCCTGACAGGGAGGAAGGAAAGGTCTAGGGTGACAAGTTTAGAGTCCCCACAGCAGGGCCTGTTCTCCCCAGTGTGGAGGGGTTGCTGAAGCACCAAGCCCAACAGTAGCCAGAGAAAAGTAGATGAGCAAGCAGGGAGGCAGAAGCCAGTCCTCGTGCCCAGACAGACACTGCTCACTGCTTTGCTGCCTGTGTGTGGACAGCTCTCACCAGTGAGGGTGCCCTCGGGGCTACTGCCTCTCACATTTTCAAGGTTTATCCATACCCTGCTATTTTATGAAGACAACCTCTGTTCTCAGTATGGGTCACATGTGTACATATCACCCGACATTCAGTGTTTGAATCTCTGAGTCTGTCTTTGAAGCTATGTGGGAGTGATGGGATGAAGACACATGGAAAGTCACCTTGGGTGAGGGCTGTAGGTCAGCTGGTGAGCAGGACAGAGGCATGGTGACTGAGCAGCTGTGGCCTCCCTCCTTTGGCAAATGCCAAACCCCTGTGCAGGGTAGGTTCCTTGGACCCCAATCAATGGGGCAGTGGGTGGACATGGGGACCTTCTCCAGAAACCACTTGACACTGACCATGGGTGGCCCAGCCTTGTTTGGGAAGCCTCTTACACAGGGGATAGACAGATCTTGATGGTGGGTCTGGATGCCCTGGATATCACAAGGAACCTGAGGTCCAGACTGTGATGGCACTCACAGTCCTCCACCCTGTGACAAATGGAGGCCCCATCAAGCCCCCATCCATTGACAAGTGGTCCAAGGCCCATGCCCCTCCCCAGTACTGTCACCTGCTGGGTCATCGTCAGCCAGAGAATCAGCTGTGTTCTTCCTCCATTGAGAGCCTTCCTAAGCCCCCTCCTCCCTGTCACTGTCTCCATCACCACACTTCTTCAGGGCCTTTGTACTGTGCCCTGGGCTCACACAGCCCTGACTCACACTCCAGGCAAGGGCATTAGCTTTGTCCCCCAGCAGAGATGGACTTGATGAAGGACCATTGCCTCAACATACAGCTCCCTCTATGGAGGAGAGTTACCTCTTACCAACCCCAGGGAGAGACTCGGGAAAGACGGGAGCTTGGAGGGCCTGAGGGGTGCTGACAGCCGCTACCTAACAAACCGAGGCACATTCCTCCTCTCTTGCTGCTTCCCCCACAAATCACCAGCACTAAGGGAGGGACACGAGGCTGTAGCTTAGTGATCTTGACTCTGTCTGATGCCGCAGCATAGAGACCAGGTTAGAATCTGAGCAAGTTCGGCTTGCTGACGACCCCATCAGGGTGTCAGTCACTCCACTCAACTTCCAGAACCCCAAGCATCAACCTGGAGGATGGCAAGGACTTCTGGGAGGACAGGACAGACTTGCAGGTGGGACCTGCCCCTAGAGGGGCCATCACTTGTGACACCACCTCCTCCTAAGGACACAGGACCCTGGGTCTCCAGGCCTCATCCACCAGGCTGTGACTGTGCTCAGGGTGACCCACTGGGCCTGGCTGTAGCCCACATGGAACAGCAGCTCAGCATTGGCTCCCTCCTCCCTCTGCTCCTGCTTGCTGGGGTCCACGCTATACCAGGAGGCAGGTCTGCGTCTAGCTAGGGCCCTGCTGCTAGATCACGAAACATAACCAAGGAAGCAGAGGACTCAATGAAAACCTTAAAGTACCACTGAAGACTAGAAATACAGAAAACCCACCTTGTTCACAGATTTATGACGTGGCTTTGACCAAGCATGGACAAAAAAAATTTTTTAATTCCCGCACACACATTCCACAGCTGGGCTGATGGGGAGAAGCAGTCGGTCCTGCGTTATCGTCAGTTGGATCTGCTGAGTGTTCCCCTGTCCGAAATTTTGTGAAAATCTGCCTCCCAAAACACAAATAGTGCCCACAAGTACAGTAAAAGTGAATGTGCTTAATTTAAGTGATGAAGTGAAAATTTGAGATTTGTCGAAAAGCAGTATGCCTTTAGCAGGCCCTGGGGAGGTTGAGTCAAGCGCCTACAGTACAGCGCTGAGCTCTGCATACCAAGCATGTGCAGTTTCCCCCTCAGTGATGGGCTCCTTAGAGCCACAGACCCACGGATACCAGTGTCCGTGTTCATGACGTCACTGTCAGGATGATGGTGCTGTGCTGCCCATGGTGGCTCACAACCAATGCAACCCTCCCGGAATTCCAGAGGCCCTCTTTGTAGAAACAGAATCTCCAGTTCTCAAGCAAAATACCAGAAACAATCTTGGAAAAGAGGAATAAAGTTGGAGGTCTCACACTTCTGGTTTCAAAACTCCCTCCAATCCACTGTGATAAAGACAGAAAAGTGCCACAACAAAGACAATGCTAAGTGATGGAATCCAGTGGGGAGCCCCCAGGCAAACCCCAAACGTACAGACAGATGATTTTTGACAAGGACTCAAGATCGGTCAATGGGTAAAAGAAGAGTGGATATCGACATGCCAAAGAATGCACTTAGACCTTACTTCACACCATATGCAAAAAATTAACTCAAGGGCTGGGTGTGACTCAGTGGCAGAGCACTTGCCTAGCACACACAAGGCCGGATTTCATCCCCAGCACCACACACAAAGCAAAAATACCTCGGATGGGTGGAACCCCTAAAATTATCTAACACTGCAGAACTCACGATAAACACGGAAGTCTTCATGCCATTGGGTTTGGCAGTGGTGTCTTGGATATGACTAAGACAGAGTGACATAAGACAACAAATTGACCTCATCAAGAGTGAAAGACCTCCGGGCACCAGTGGCTCATGCCTGTAATCCTAGCTACTCAGAGGCGGAGATCAGAAGGATCCTGGTTCAAAGCCAGCCCCGGCAAATAGTTCACGAGACCCTATCTCAAAAACCCCTTCAGAAAAATAGGATGGTTGAGAGGTGAAGGCCCTCAGTTGAAGCCCCAGTACCACAAAAAAAAAAAAAAAAAAAAAGTGAAAGACCATAGAGGGGGAGATAATTCCTTCTGTTCATGTATCTGACAGGGGCCTAGTGTCCAGGATACAGAGTGACCTCAGCCCAACAACCCAACCAAAATAGAAGAAACTCAACACACATAATCATTAGGGACGTGCAGGTCAAAGCCACAACGAGACCCCACTTCACACATGCCAGCCACCATTTTTCTTTCCTTTTTTACATCACTGGTGTGAACTGCAAGGCCTTGTGCCTACAAGACAGGTGCTCTACCACTTGAATCCCACCCCTTTTTGCTGTAGTTATTTTTTGGATAGGGTCTTACATTTTTGTCTGGGACTGGCCTAGGACTGCAATCCACCTTCCTATGCCTTAGGAGTAGCTAGGATTATAGGAGTAAGTCATTGCATCCAGCCCAAACATGTTTTATCTAATATTGTAAAAGTCTGGGCTGTGGAGAGATGGTGCCATGCCACGATGACTTGGGGCCTTGTGTAACTTCCCCAGGACCTTCAGGGCTGAACATGAGTAAACAAAATCAATGAGATCCAGTGTGGTTCTGTGACAGTATCAGCAACACAGACACACCACAGCCGCAGCTATCTGGCAGAGAAACCACCATGTCAAGAGCAGAGACACCATGGACCCCACAGGCACCAAATGGCTAAACAGGCATCACGAGTAACTTTCTTTTAACGAACTCAGCATCTCGGATTAAATGAGAAAAATCTGCGGAAGGCAGGCGCTACAGCCAACAAACCCTGGCCCCACAGCCAGCTCAGGGAACACTCTTGTGATCAGCAGACAGTGAATTTGTGATCTCAAGCTTCCCCACAGAGAACACGTCCATCAGAGCTGCCTTCACTGGTGAGTCTGCCCAACACCTGATAAAAAAATGGCACCAGTGCCGACACACAGTGCTCAGAACACAGAGGCTTCCACTCCAAAAAACAGAAAATTCTTGAAGTATTACGTATGCACCACCATGGACCCAGGCAGGCCCTTCCACCCAGGGAAACCAAACTGCTGCCCCCAAAGGGAACACAGCTGTGCAAGATCTATGACGACAGCAGGACAGCCCAAGTGGCCACCACAGGAGCCCAGAGAAGCCACTGTGGGGTTCCACACGGTGAATCCTCCCTCCTAGAGCTACCAGGCCAAACAAAGTATTGACACAGCACTTAAAATATGGTGCCCAGTAGAACAGAACTAGAGAGCACACTACGATCCCATCCATGTGCAGTGACTAGAAGTCAGGTTAGGGCAGCGTTTTCTGGGAAGTGGACAAGGAAAAGCTCTGTCACCATTCAGAAGTGGTGAGCTGCCATGCACACACTGCCCGAAAACCATCACGCTGTACGCATAGCAAGGTTGCATTTTATTTGTATAGTTTGTAGCTGGCACTATAAACGAAGCCCCGATGTGCAAAGGGCGCGAGTTTCTGTACCACAGCTGGCTGCAGGCTCTCGTTAGCCTGTTTACACCCGCATGAGGATA